CCACAGAGTATGCATTCAACTTGCATCACTCCCAATTTGTCACGTTAACGATATACCTCTGACAACAATTAACTTATCAATCCTTAACAATAGGATTATAGGTCATCAAAATTGCTCAAATCGTAATCTTCCCCAGCAATACACTAAGTCTTCAAAATCTGAGTATCAAAATTCATCGTTTCTGATGATAAACTCATTTAGCAATTCTCCCCAGCGAGACGCTAGTCCCCAAAATCTTGTTCAAATTACAAGTACACAATTCCTGTCACGTTAACACTAAACCTCTGACAAAACCCGCTTATCAATCCTCATCAATAGGATGATAAGTCCACAAAGTTGCTCCAATCGCAACACAAATCCTGTCACGTTAACACTAAACCTCTGACAAAACCCACTTATCAATCCTCATCAATAGGATGATAAGTCCACAAAGTTGCTCCAATCGCAACACATTCTCTTGTCATGTTAACACCATACCTCTGACAATCCACTTATCAATCCTCATCAATAGGATGATAAGTCCACAAAGTTGCTCCAATCGCAACACATTCTCTTGTCATGTTAACACCATACCTCTGACAATCCACTTATCAATCCTCGTCAATAGGAGAATAAGTCCACAAAGTTGCTCCAATCGTAACACATTCTCTTGTCATGTTAACACCATACCTCTGACAATCCACTTATCAATCATCGTCAATAGGATGATAAGTTCTCAAAGTTGCTCCGATCGCAACAAAATCCTGTCACATTAACACTAAACCTCTGGTAAAATCAACTTATCAATCCTCTTCAATAGGATGATAAGTCCACAAAGTTGCTCCAATCGCAACACAAATCCTGTCACGTTAATATCACACCACTGACAATCCACTTATCAATCCTCTTCAATAGGATGATAAGTCCTCAAAGTTGCTCTGATCGCAACACTTCTAACTTATCGACTCTCCTCAATAGAGCGATAGGTCCTCAAAGTTGCCCTGATCGTAACATCTTCCTGTCACGTTAATATCACACCTCTGACGACATAATCAACTTATTGACTCTCTTCAATAGAACGATAGGTCCTCAATGTTGCTCCGATCGTAACAAATTCTTGTCACGTTAATCCTACACCTCTGACAAAATCAACTTATCAACCCTCTTCAATAGAGCGATAGGTCCAGAAACCCGTCAAGTTAATATCACACCTCTGACGACATAATCAACTTATTGACTCTCTTCAATAGAGCGATAGGTCCTCAATGTTGCTCCGATCGTAACAAATTCTTGTCACGTTAATCCTACACCTCTGACAAAATCAACTTATCAACTCTCTTCAATAGAGCGATAGGTCCAGAAACCCGTCAAGTTAATATCACACCTCTGACGACCAAATCAACTTATCGACTCTCGTCAACAGAGCGATAGGTCCATAAAATACTGTTAGGTTAACAACACACCTCTAACAGTCAAACCCCCCAATGAACTTGTTAATCCTTTTTCAACAAGAATAACAAGTTTTCATTATAAAATCCCCAGTGGATTAGAGATTTTCTGAAATTATCCGAGTGATAATAAAGAAAATTTCTGAATTTCACTCTAAGTGAAAATTCATATCAAGTTAATATTACACCTCTGGCGCTTCTAACTTTTTTTCCAGTGTTTCAAGTAACCAGGAAGAAATAACGACAAAGTCTACATATTTAATATCGTAGCCAGTGATTATCATTAAATTAATAATCTCTGAATCCATGCCTTTTACGCATGGGGGACTTTATCTCGATCCCTAATTAGAGATAAGCCTACGCCTAACACGCGTTGCCGGTTAGTCTTTTCCCGTGAAAATGATAAAGTCTATGTATTCAAAATCATAGCATCAAGTCTAGGAGGGTTCATTCTCTTAGCATAACGTTACATGTGGAACGGACTTAGACAATCCACATGCTAGCCCGATTCAAACGGTAGTCGGTAAAGGCTTATCAAATCCGTTGATGGCTGAGGGTTTGCCAAAAATCCTATGCATGTTTGCAGGTCCATCAGCTTAATGGATGTGAGCCGAGACTTAAAACAGATGAGCCAAAGAAAAGTCTCAAAGACTTAGTCAAAAATGCACGGAAGCCACTTCCATGTCTTAAGTCAAAACGTTGAGGTCAGACCCGCGATGCAAAAACCGAACGCCGAGGTCACACCCGTGTTCCAAATTCAACATGTAAGGGTGAGACCCGCATCTCAAGTTCAAAATGCAGGGTTCACCCCCACATTTCAGAAGCAGGATTATGACGCATACCTTCACACAGGTCCTACGTGCAAATCCCTTCAACCAAGATGCCTTCGAAGCAAGTGCAGAGAACAAATCCTTTACCACAAGGAATCAACAGCTCCAAGATCAGAGTTGAGATCCAAAGTATTCCGAAAATTCGTCCCAGTCAACCGCGAACTTTCGAAAACTTTGGAGGGGGTTCTGTAGGCTGTCTAAAAATCACAATAGATAGCTGATCCCCATCAAAACACCGATGATGGAAGTTACAATCTGACGACTTCCAGAAGGCTACAATTTGAAGACTTTCACGTAGATTGCTGAAGGTTACAATCTGACGACCTTCACGACAACCGATGAGAGCTCTAGTTTAACAGCCTTCACCATCAACATCGAGAGTTACAATCTGACGACTATTGCATATCAAAGAGCTAAAGTAAAGATTACAAAATGACGATCTTTGCAAAACTTCGATAGAAAGAGACTACAAATCGACGGTCTCTTCAAATCAAGACGTGGAAGTCCTCCCCGCGTACCAGCATCAAGATGCGCCGCGTTCATAGCCACGAACGCAGCTCAAACGCAACTCTAAAAGCTGCAAACGCAGCTCCAAAAGCTACAAACGCAGCTCAGATTCGGCCACCAACGCAGCTTCCAAATGAACGGTTCCAAAACCGTTTCCCACGATCTGAGGGGATCATAACTCCACTCAGGAGTGATTTAAGGGGCGGTTACATCCCATTAGCCCCACTTAGGAGCGAATTAAGGAGGTGGTTACACCCCTTAATCCCCTATAAATAACGACAAACTCAACAGAGTTAAAGATCGGATTTTGGATAATCAGATCAGGGCTGGATCTTTCGGGTGCGGTCTGTTAGAACTTCTTGGCAGCGAAAAGAGGATCATTCATCCTTCGGTTGGAGCTTTGGAGATCGGCAATAAGATCTTCTTCATCCTTGGCTTATAACCGACTTTCGGTTAAATCAACTCTTTCATAGAGTTATCAACTCGTTCAGAGTTCTCCACAACGTCAAATCGTGAGGAGAAGACTATGTTCCAGTGAAACAAGACGTCGGATCGTCAACGAGAAGCAAACTCGACGCAAGCATTCGAGGGAGGCATCTCATCGCCACCGTGAAGAACCCAGAATTAAACAAAGGAGAGAATCCAGATCATTCTCTTCTCTTTTGTAATCGGGAATCCAATTGTAATCGAGAGTAGAGAGAGTTGTAATCATTCTTTTTCTAAGCAGTTAGAGAGAATAAAATCAAATACAGTTCTTTCATTCATTTTTCTTATTACAAATTTTCCACCAAACACTCCTATTGTTAAAATACTTACGTTCTAAATAAATATACATATTTACCCTTATGCAGTAGTTGTATTTCACATTATGGATTCCGATGATGAAAGAAGAAAGATGAGGAAGCTGGTGGCTGTCCAAGCACATATGAGAAATGTGCAGAGTATAGTGGCTTGGTGGTTTCTTTTCTCATCACATCTACTAAAAATCTACAAAGAAAAGAAATCACTAAGAGAGCGTTATTTGGTGGATTTCTATTCCAAAACAAAAAATGTGTATCGTCTTGCATATGCGAGTGATGTAACTTGTTTAGATCAACTTAGAATGTATAGGATCTCTTTTAAAAGTTGTGCACTATGCTAGAAAATGTAGGGCTGAAAGATACAAAAAATATGTTGGTGGACGAACAAGTTGCAATGTTTCTACATATTATCGCCCACCATGTGAAGAATAGGGTCATAAAACAAATGTTTCAACGTTCAGGGGGAACTATTAGTAGGCATTTTACTAATGTGCTACATGCCGTAATACGTCTGCATGATGTTTTAATCCAAAAACCCAATCCAGTGCCGATAGACTCAACAGACACGAGGTGGAAATGGTTCAAGGTATCTTATAAATTATTTTTTATTTGTATTTCTTAGTTTTTATAAATAATCTAACATAATAATTTTTATTTATATTTAGAATTGTCTTGGAGCTTTAGATGGGACTTATATAAGAGTGAGAGTAGCTCTGGAGAACAAATCTAGGTATAGGACACGAAAAGGTGACATTGCAACAAATGTCTTGGGTGTATGTTCTCAAAACATGCAATTTATATACATACGACCTGGGTGGGAAGGGTCAACAGCTGATAGTAGAGTACTTCGAGAAGCAATAACCAGAAGAAATGGATTAAAAGTCCCCCGTGGTAAGTTATAATTTGTATAATATTAGCTTTTAGCAACTCAAGTTTTTTAATATTTACATAGTTGATATGTCCAACCATAGGTTACTATTATCTTGTTGATGCGGGATACACAAATTGTGATGGTTTCCTTGCACCATATAGAGGCCAACGTTATCACTTGAATGAATGGAGAGACAGACACCAACCGACAACTGCACGGGAGTTTTTCAATATGAAACACGCATCTGCTAGAAATGTTATCGAGCGATGTTTCGGGTTACTTAAATTAAGATGGACGATCTTACATAGCCCTTTATTTTACCCTATCAAGATACAAAATCGAATAATCATGGCATGTGGTCTCCTTCATAATTATGTAAGGAGGGAGATGGAGGTTGATCCATTTGAAGAGTGTCTTGATGATTTGGAGGAAACAACTCAAATTGTCAATGCTAATGATCCAATCACGACAACTAAAACTACTTCAGATTGGACTTCATGGTGAGATAACCTTGCAGATTCTATGTATAATCAGTGGATAGGGCAACAATAATCCTTTGGCTTTTATGTTTGTCATATGTGTTTTCTTTTTTCTTTTTCATGTACAAAGTTTAGTCATGGAAACAATAATTTTTTTCTTTGTGAAATAATTGAGTTATTAGCAATTGACTCATGCTCATGTTGAAAAGCTTACTACTCTTGGATAATGGTAATTGATATTTACATGGATTTATTTATTATTATATGTAATACAATTTCTAATGTAGAGAGGTTAATGCTTCAGGAAAAAATTACATATATTGCAAGAAAAGTTGAAACGTGATAACTGATAAATAAGTAATATAATTGTTTAGGAATGAATCAAGAAGACCAACAAGGCCGTAGAAGGAATAAACACACATGGACTACTATAGAAGATCAGAAATTGGTTGATGCGTTGTTGGATTTACATAACACTGGAAAGTACAATGCTGACCGTGGATTCAAGCCTGGACACTACAATGCTGTTGAAAGATAACTTTCCGAGTCACTACCGAATTCAGGGTTAAAGGCTGATCCTCACATTAGATCAAGGATGAAGACACTTAAGACACAATTTAGCATTGTATTTGATATGCTTAATTGTAGTGGCATTGGATGGGATGCAACTAAGCAATGTGTGATTGCTGAAAAAGAAGTTTGGGATGAATATTTACAGGTATTTTATTATTAAATTTTAATTTATCACATGATCATTTTTACATTTGACATATTTTTTAATTAATGGTTGTCCAATTTTTTTAATCTTTTAATGTAGGCCCACAAAAATGCAATACCTTTCAGAGAGAAATCTTTTCCACACTATGAAACTCTGGCTATTGTGTTCGGGAAGGATAGGGCAACAGGAAACAGAGTGGAACATCCTACTGATGTTATAGAGGAATTGGATAAAGAGGTTAGTCAAGAGACTATCGAAGAAGATTTTATTGATATTGACTCACCTTCACAAGATGCAACAACAGGGAACACAAGTGATGTCTCCTTGAAGCGAAAAAGAAAGAGACGTTTGTCTGGAGATAGCGATTCGTTGGGAGAGATCATGAGGGAAACTAATACATATATTGGAAGTGAGCTTGTTAAATCAAGCCAATTGATCAAGGATGGTTTAGATGAAGTGAGTTTGTACGAGAAGAGACAAAGGTTCACTGAACAAGTAATGAAAATGAATTTAACTATAGATCAGTGCTTTACAGCAATAGGGACGATTAGTGCTAACCGTAATTTGCTAGATTTGTTCTTTATAATTGGTGATAATCTAAAGGAGACATGGGTGAGGCGATACAGCAGGGAGTATTAGGTGACACTTTGGAGTTATAGACTAGTTTATCATTTTGTAATTTCAAAAATTGATATTTTGATACTTTGATGGTTGTCCAATTATTTTGCTCGTACTATGTTATGGATTTTATGATTAGAATTTGGATATTTCTAATAATTTGTCGAATGTGATAGTTTTTGCCATATAAAATTTTAAACTATAGATACTACCGTTTATATCAATTTTGGACATATGGATGATAAATTGTATTATTTTATTTTTTTCCCTTTATTTTTCCCTTGAACATGAAATCTTAAAATTTCTTTTAGCAGGACATGTTGTGAAGAGTGCTCAATTATTCATGATTTAGTAGACACATTTTTCATACAATTTTAATGTTTTTAACTATTTTATCATGTTCTTTTTTTTTGTAATATTGTTTGCATCTAGATAAAAATAACTTTTTGACTATATGCAATATCTCTTATGAGACATTCTTCTCTTCACTAGCGCACAATGATGTTCGTAACATTAGTTACTCGTACAAATAATAGACATGTAGCACTAAAAGTTAGAAAAGTGAAATTATAATTATTTATAATTAAAAATAATTTCTATGAAAATTATTTTCAATTTGTAAGCCAAAAATCCAAAATTGTTGCCGAGACGGTATGCCAAAATATAACTGTTCCATGAAAATTTATTTCTCTAAGGAAAAAATATCATTTTTATAAAACTTATTTTTCTAAAAAAATAAATTATTTAGTTATTTTTAAAATATTTTTAATGATTTTTTAAATTCTATGTTTTGGTAAGGGCATTATTAGAAAACTAAATTTTATTCTCACTTTTTTTAATGATTTTTTAAATTCTATGTTTTGGTAAGGGCATTATTAGAAAACTAAATTTTATTCTCACTTGTGAACAAAGGATACCAAACGTGAGAATGTGGTAAGGGCATTATTAGAAAACTAAATTTTATTCTCACTTGTGAACAAAGGATACCAAACGTGAGAATGAGAATAAGATTCTCATTCCCGTTTCATTCTCTAAACGCGCCCAAACATGAGAATGAGAATGTGCATTCTATTCCCACATCCATTCCATTCCATTCCTACCTTCTTTCCATTCTCACTTGATTCTATTCCCGCGTACCAAACGAGGCCTAAGGGGTTGTTTGGTTGTTTTGCCTAAAATTAGGTATTTATAACACCATATGGAAAGTGGTTGTCCACCTTATTATTTTATATTTGAACTTTTACATTGTTTATTTTGGATTCCATTAAGAATCTTTAAATGATAAAAATACATTGTTTGATTTACATAAGAGATTGTAAGAAAATGGTTGTTATATGGACCCAACTACAAGGATAATTTTACCATAGGCGAGTTCATCCCCATCAAAAATTAGTTGGGTTATTTTGCTTTTATTACCCTAAATTTTACATCTTCTTTAACATTGATACCCCGAAGTTTTTATTTAAAAATTTAATACCTTAAAATTCACTTTCTTTTACTTTGATACTCTAAAGTTTTTCCCCAACATTTCTATATCCTTAAATTTACACATTTTCAACTTTGATATCAAAATTTACTCACTTTTTAATTTTGATATAAAAAATTTTACGCACTTTTTTACTTTGATACCCTAGACTTTGGTTATCAAAGCGTCAAAAACAATATGCAAGGTATTCACTAGCATGTAAACATTGGGGCATTCATTTTTTTTTGGGTGGGGGGGGGGGGGGG